CTTGCCATTATCCGCAAAAAATATCCGCAACCGCCAAATCGATTTCTAAATAAGGATAACACGCACCCAAATAATTGGTATAATTTTCCCGCATCAGAATCTATTATTAACTAATAAACATGAAAACAATGTTGGTTGTTGTAATATTAATTATCACCCCCGTCTTATGGGTAATATAATGACGAATTAATGATATGATTCTAACTTAACTCCCCTAAAAATCACTAGCCCCAAAAACAAGGAAAAAAGTAATCTAATTAGCCTCACTTACAAAATCATGTCTTCGTTACCAATTAACCTTAAAGATTGGAAGATAGAGAATATTATCACTTATCTGGAGAAGCAGAAGGACAAATCGTTCGTTGAAGAAAATAATGTGCATAAAAAGCTTGAACAACCAAAAATTAATGGCGCATCCTTCCTTCTATTGACAGAAGAATTGCTTTCTCGTAATTTGCACATCTACGACTTCTCACATGGAATTGCACTAGAAATAGTCAAGACAATTGGAAAACTAAACAAAGAGTAACAAGAAAGAGATAAAGTGAATTAATAAAAGTATTGTAATTTTATGTCTTAAGGGTGTGCTTTATCACAGAAGTTAAGATAGTCTTATGTAAACACTTTTGTAGTTGGTAAAGAAATCGGAAACCTGGTTATTGACATGTCTAAATTGTCCACAAACAATACACCATGTAATTATTTACAAAGAAAACACTGGCAAGGAAATAATCGTGTAGTTATCCGCAAAAAATATCCAGAATATTAATATCCAATTTTTATTGGTGGGTTGGGTGCGTGTTATCCTTATTTAGAAATCGATTTGGCGGTTGCGGATATTTTTTGCGGATAATGGCAAGGAACAATAGTTAAATAAAATACCATTTGCAACACTACACAGATCTTGTTCCAACTCAAAATTCCAAGTCTGCAGGAGTAAAATTATATCAAACATACACAAATGGTTACATCAAACATAATGGTCCATTACTTTATTATAGAAGTACCACACATGTGATACTGTTATCTATGCGCGCATGCAAGACTTTCGTCATAAAATATTTCTTAAAAATCTTTCATTACTTTGTCATTTGCATTTTAATACATCACTAATGACACGTCCTTAATTTTAAATATGCGCAACTTTGTTTGGATTGAAGATATTGACGACAAGGGGAAAATTACTATTATTTCTGATATCTCTGCCAGAAAAAGCTTTACTAGTTTAAATGACATTGAGGTAAAAATTCTTGAAGATAAACAAAAGAACAATCGTTGCACGGTTATATCGTAACCCGAATTACGTAAATCAAAAAGTAATTTATATAGGTAACTTTATTTAGTGATATAATGGCATATGGCGCTTTCCTCAAGTTTTTGCATCCTTACTTTTTTAGTCATGTCATTTTTTTTTTGAAACGAAACAAAAAACTTGTTTAGAGTTTATATCAATCTATTCAGTTGGCTAAAATCAATTAGCATCTCTAAATTGATGTTCGCATTGAAAAATATTCAGCTGGGACAACATGGTCAATGTTTAGTAGCAAATCTGGAAGTTCAAATGACCTCAGATTGAGATTTTTATATAAAAATCTGTAATATCAAGGTTAAATAATTATAATAATAAATGGATTTGGTTTTCGTTAAACCCTGAAATCTGTAAATCAAGGTTAGCTAAATCGAGATGCGCCGTGTAATATGTATTAAGTATTTTTATTATTATATTAATGCTAATCTAAATTTTTATATTATTATAATCAAGGTTTTTAATATTTAAACCATCACAATGTAACCAACTAACAAGAAAATTAAAAACATCACAATTGGTTTCGATAGTGATAATTTATTTGCGTTACTAGTAGTTTTTGTGGTGATTATGGTTGTTGGAATGTTGCTGCCAGAAGATGATGATGTAGAATTACCAGTAGGTACAAAGGAAGTTGTTGCTAATGATTGGTTAAAAGTAGATGTTACGGATGGTGGTGGTGGTGGTGGTGATGCCGGAGTTAAAGCTGTTGTTGAACCGGCCGATGCTGCAAGCCCACAAAACTGTTGGACCGCAGGCTAGTCATTATTATAATTGTTAATAATAAGAATGAGAGAAATAATGCTATGACGATGATGATGAAGAGGAAAAAATAAAATTTACCTCGTAGGCTTTTCCTTCGTTTTGAATATCAAGATCATCTCGACATTGTTGAAAACAAAGTTGAATTTCTATATTTTTTTTTCGAGAGGGAAAAACATCATTTAATTTATTTAATTATGAAACAAAGTCTTTAAAAGAAAGAAAGAAAGAAATACGTTTGCGCGCATCACATTGACAGGTATAACCCGTTGGTGGACAAGAAGCTAATTTAGTGTCTCCTATATTTCTACAACTATCATAAACCGCTTTATTAATACATACAGCTTCGCTTGACGAAGTAAAAAGAAATATAGTTGTTGAAACGATATAAAATAAAATAATTGATGTGAACATTTTTGAATTCATGATTTTATGATTTATTAATTTTATGAATTATTTTTATTATTGTTATTTCTTCCTTTTAACAGTTTGGAAAGAACGATTTTCTAAATTTGTGGGTGAAAGTTTTATTATTTATGTCAAAATATATTAACATATCATATAAAAAAGCATAAATTAATTTATGATCCTATCGTAAAATATAAATTTACTCGCAACAATAACCTTTCCTTAAATATATCAAATCAATTTATTCTACAAAAAATTATAATAAATTATTACATTTTAAAAAAAAGCGTTGTTAAATTGATGTTGCACACAAGAAAAATTATCATCATCCAAAAAACTTGATAAAGTCGACTAATCGAATTTCACGTGATTTTTTAAATTTTATCTTTTATCCCACACATTAGAAGGTTGCAAATCAATCTTTTTATACATATTTCTGAACATAATAGGAACACAAATGTATTTCTTCACACGATATAATCAATGATATAAGTGATGATGTAAAAATGAGATAAAAATATAGATGTATTTTTTGCAATTAGACAAAAATTTTCTCTAAATTATTGAATGATAATATTAATGCATTATTCATGATAAATCATCAAATGATTAAAGAGAAAAAAGCTCCTTTTTAAAATTACTGAGAAGGAAAAAATGGTAAAGAAGAATTTGTGATTATGCATTATAACTGATAGAAGTAATAAAATATAAGTGAGAATGCTCTCTTCAAAATTATAAAAAATAGTTTTTTACATTAGATGTTTCATGACGAATAAAAAATTATTAAATCATACATTACTAAAATAGTAATGATGACCCTTCACAATGAAATATCACGTGAGACCGACTTATCGTGATTCATTTAATTATACTTGGGCTAAGTGATTGACCGACTTGGCGCTTATCGCGACTTTATATAAAAATATTATCATTATATATTTACTAAAAATTACTTTTTTTTGGGAAATTTAAAATGGGATTATACATTTGGAGCAAGGATAATTTTTACCATTTTTCTATATTATTTAAAGCATTATGAGGTTCAATAGACATACTTCTCAATTATTAATGTTTAATTCCATCTCATCTTGTTCCTCTTCGTCGCCCTTTTCAACATTGGATTTTTATATCTTCTTCTGTAAGTTCCTTTTTTCCTTTTTTAATCTCTTTAAGAATCAACATTTTTATACATTCCTTTTCGTAATATTACCCACAATGATTGCAGCCATTATTCAAGATACTATAACAGTTTAGATGATCCCATGCTCACTTTTCCCAATGTTTTTTTACAATGATCTTGTGCTAAAACCAACAGGAAGACTCATTACATTTACTTCTAGTCCAAGAGATGCAAATTTATATTAATTAATTTTTGATTTTCTTTTTCTCTTTCCTCCTATATTAACAGAACCACCAAGGACAAGATTTTTTTATATCTGTTGAAAATATTTTAACAAAAACCAACTAGTGTAAGGGTTTCTTGGAATGCTTCCTTAAAGGAATCTAAATCATGAGAATCTTTATATTTACACAGAAATTGAAGGAATATTTTAAAATAATCAACAAGAACACTATCAACTGTTTCTGGTTTTAAATTTGATTGGTTTCATTCAGCTGCATTGAACTCTCTTTCACTGGGTGCACTGGGATAAATAATAAAAACATAAAATTGATAGTTTTGATACTAATCTTGATGAGTTTTCCACCATTCTAAAATGCTTGTTCAATTCCTTTGTACTTTTGAAAACAAATACTTGTCAATTTCATTCTCTTGAGCTTCATCATTATTTGAATCACAAAACTGACTGAAATTTGTTAAATCAACATTAGATTTTTTTTTCTTTTAATAGGTCTTATATCATTAAATATATATATATCATCTGATAATGGTTTGCCATTGCCCCTTCAAAAATCATATGTTGCTCATCCACCTTCCACCTCCATTCTGTCCCAACTGGATTTGTATGATGTCTCCAACTTACAATAATAAAGGAATGAATAAATGAATGAAATAAATAATTATAGGTAATTAATTATCATATATAATCAATTAGTTATATAAAATATATATTTATATTTATATTTACCAAAATACACATTTATTTGCGCAGATAAAGATGGAGTAGTTTCCATACAAATATGTTTTTTTTGTAATATAAAAGTATTATATTTATCTATATTTATGATCATATGCGTATTTACCTTTGAATTCCATAAAAACTATCTTTATAGCAAAATCTTCTTTCTTTTAAAGCAGCTCTAGTTCATTTGCAAAATTTTACACCCTACATCCAGAAAATTTTATTTTTATTATAATTATAGTTAACATAACAAGCATGTTCCAATTATTTTGTATCCTTGTTTAGTTAATGATTTATACTGACCATTTCTCTAACCTCTTTAGCTACCTTTTTTTTGTGCTATATATATGTAAATATTAATGAATGTAGATATTTTATTTTAATTTTAATTTTAATCTACCTTTAATATCATCAGAATTATATGAAATATTTGAACGTCTTTTGATTTACATGTAGCTTTTATTTGTGGTACCAGTTTACCTATATTTTCTATATCAATAAGATCTGATTCTATTTTAAAAAATTTTTTTTTATTAATTCTTGAATTACCATCATCGTGTATTTCATCTTCAGCATCATCTTCCACTTGACTATCTGAATCAACATAATCTTGATTAGAAGTAGAATATGATTAATCCAGCAACGACTTTACTATTGATACCTTCTACAAAACTTTTTTCTTTGCACATTAATAGTTCATATACTACATTAGGAAATCGATCGTTTATCATGTAGCCCAAAATGTATAGGAAAAATATTATTTCTATTTTGAGTAACTAATTTATTAATCAAAAAAATGCTTCAAAAATTTCCATTTGACTTATTATTTTGTATAATTGAGCTTTTGTCAATAAAAGATTTGACGAATTTATCTCTTGTTAACAAAGACTATTACAATATTATAAAGAAGTATGGGTTTAGGATATATTTCAATAGTCAAAATTGGAATATATTACAATACCCTATTATATATGATAATGATTGGGAGGGAAAAGTCAAATTTGGTTTTGCTATAAATAAAAATTGGAACAGAAGAAAGTTCAAGCCAACCATAATAGCAAGGCATAGACAAGCATTAATGCCTAAAATAAAATTTGACTCAGCAAAATTAATCTGCACTGTTGGAAGTTCACTGGATGTTTCTTATTTCTCACCCCAAGATCCAGCAAAGTTCTATAAGAGAAAAAATTTTCATGTTCACAATAATGACATTACTGATATAATATTTTGTTGTAATAATAGAAATCACATATTTACAAGTTCTGTAGATTATACAATCAAAAGATTCTATTTGAACAAAAATCACAAAAATCATATTCATCTAAATGAACTGAGAACTTTTTATGGGCATGATGGCATTGTTCAATCAATCTGCCAAATTTCTGATAAATCATTATCTTTGATTTCGGTAGGCACAGATCTAAAGATGATTTTATGGGATGTGGAAACTGGTGAAAAGAGACATACACATAAAATAATTGGTAAACCTTACATTGTAAAAAATTTATCATGCAATAGTCATTTGATTGGAGTGGGCAATAAAAGCGATAATCATTTGACATTATACTATGTTACTCCAACCGGATTTGTTGATTCCAGATTTTCAATAAACAATCATAATAGTAGTGTTTATGCATTAGCTTCAAATCAAATTCTACCAAATACTTTTGTTTCTGGATGTTATGATGGATTAACACGTCTCTTTGACACTAGAAGTATGGAATGCATAGCATCATATAGAGATCCTTATGATCTCTCACCTGGTATAAATATAAAAAAGTTTTTTTATAATGATTATTTTTTAAAAAAAAATAACAACAATAATAACAATGAACAATTTCTTTTTGTTTTTATTTGTTTGTGATTGTTATCCAGTTTATTCTGTTGATTATGATTTTCATAAATTGGCTTCTGGTTCTTATTCAAATGGATTAATAAGATTGTTTGATTTAAGATATTATAAAAATAATATGATAAACAGTTTAAAGAGAGGTGGAAGATTGTATGGTGATGGCTGGTCTGTTTATCTTGGTAGAAGTCGCTCACCAGTATATTCATTGCAGGTTTGTAATCAATTAATTATTATTATTATGATTATTATTTAAATAAATAAACCAAGTTCTTAATTTCAATTCTATTATTAGATGGATCATTCACGGTTATATGCAGCTTTAGATAATATGACTTGGATGATAGATTTTAATAAAAACCCTAATAATTTCCAATATCAAGAGAATTATTGCATGAATTATGATCATTCTAAAAAATTTAGGATTAATAATATTGTTTAAATATTTATTTTATGTTTTTTCTTTTTTTTTTTTTTTAATATAAATCTTAGAATGATATTTTCCCTACTATTACCATTTTCATTGATATTGACATTTTTCATCAAAATTACTTTCTAATATTTGTATTTTCAGGTTTGACATCATTACCCGATAATAATAAAAATGCATCTTCATGTTTTTCTACAGTCAAAACTCGTTTCAACTAATTATAATTACGAATTTTTAAAATTTTTGCTTCACATATAAAACATAGAATTCTCTGAAACCCGATTAGTAATGCAATTCTCTTATGTGCCCCATAGATTCCTTGAAGCGAGGTTTGACCATATTAAAAATCGGTTTTGTTTAATGCAGGAATTCTTGACAAAAATTTTCCTGCAATATCTAATTCAACAACCTTTTCTCATATTGCTTTTTTATCTTGATATACACTGTGTCTCAAAAAAAAATGGTGGTTTGTAAAATATTGTTTTTAATGAAAAAGTAGCCAAAAATTATGTAATAAAAATTATACCAGAGAATCGGAAGATCTTAGATTATAAGATAGAAAATTTTTGAAGTATATTGTCATGTAGGATTTAGAGCAATCATTAAAGAAATTTACACATTTGGATGGTTTTTTCAAATAATCAAATTCCTTTTATTTTCAATTGATAAAAATCTAGAAAATCTGGAAGTGTGAAACTTTATATACATAATCTCCAGAACTTTTGCTACAGACTGGTATAATTTTTTGTATAATTACTATGTATATGCTTGTGTCAGAGTTATCGTTAAAAAATTCCATGTTTAAATTTCAGAGACAAAAATTTAGCAAAGTTCTAAAAAAAATATATGAATTAGCTTTACAGAAAATTGGCAATAGCATTTCATGTTTATTTTTTATTATTTAATAAAGTAAATGATAAGGCTTTCGAATGAATCCAATTTTATTTAACTATGTTATGTAATTGTTGAGATGTGTGATATTTTTGTGACCACCATTTTTTTTGAGACATTAATATATATATTATACATACCTTATCATCATTTGAATATATAAGTTTTATCATTTTGATTTCAAAATCCAATTTTGCTGCACCTAAACCTGTTCGTAGATCTAATATTATTTTGCTATCTATTTAAAAAGTGAAGGAAGTCAACGAATTAAAAGATTCCGTCTTTATAGTGTAACTTCCATAGAAAAAAATGCCAAAATAATATTAATCATGGTTTACTTTTTACTTTTTGATTTATTTAATTTCTTTATAACATAATATACACATTAGTAATATTGGAAAACGCAAATAGTTAAAAGATGATTTTTTTATAAAGTATTATTCTAAACAAAAAAAACCACTTGATGGAATTTTTTAAATAAGTTCATCTATGTATATATATTATTTTATTAACGGTTTAGGACTTGACAATTTACCTCGCGTAATTTGCCAACACTGGTTTAAAGTATCCCAAACGTGCTTGAAAAAAATTTTTCTTTAAATATAATGAATTAACTCCATCCTTTGCATTTTTATATCCTGTAAAAATCCAGGGTGATATTTATTCCTATTATATATATAAATTCTCTCTCTTTTTTCTCAAACAATTTGAAAAAAGTCTTTGAATGGGAATTTTTTCTCTTTGTTATTACCAATAAAACGAATGAAAAAAAACTTGATATTTATTATTTTTATAACATTAATTAAATCTTTCGCAATTTCACGTTCAATAAAACTTGATAAGATAATTGAATTTGATGACTCAGTCACTGGTATTATGAAAACTTTTTATAACATTAATTAAATCTTTCGCAATTCTACGTTCAATAAAACTTGATAAGATAATTGAATTTGATGACTCAGTCACTGGTATTCTGAAAACTTTTTTTTTTAATTATTTAAACCATTATTAATTTAAACAGCCAATGAAAATATGTACAATTTATTCAATAAACTTAAATCACAATCTTCGCCATATTTTGAGTGATGGTAAGATTCGGGTAGAATATATTATTGTAAGGTTTAATATTGAATTGATCGATTTAGCGTTAATTTTGGTGCTAGATTTGAAATATATGTTGAAATATTGTGGATGTTGTGCATCTATTCATCGGTGAATGACATGCAAACGAGATTGTGTGGCTAAGAAGGATATGACAGTGAGAAAATCGATATCCAAAGAAAAAGACACAAATTAGTCAAAATTACACAAACATTATACCAAGCGTTCCTTCAAACATAACTTTCCAATCATCCTCACAATAAACATGCGTTGATTGCTTGCTTTAACTTTCTGTGACCGAAGGAAATATGCATTATTTACTTGTTCGAGTATGGCATGTGGAAATATTTTGTAATACTCGCTCATGTAAAAATTAAAAATTCGAGAAATTAAGGGAGTCCATTATAAACATCCGAACAACAACCGTGATGGCTCTTGTTAATTATTCGATGTAATTGAATCACAATACAAATACCATTTATAATTGCTAATACTAATACACACAATTTTAGATATTCGATTCATAATACATGCGACACTTGTAATAAGTAACGCCAATACTATATTATATATTGACAATGAAGAGACGAATAAATAAAGGGTTATGAAATTCCTGTATAAAATAAATTTTATTGACGACGTATATCATTTGAAATTTGTTGTGCTACCTTCACGAATTTGTTGGAATTTTATAAATTTTCATCAGAGCAGAAACTGATGTTGCTACAATAACGTCACAAGTGACAATACGAATGTCCACTATGCTGTCAAGGTTTTAAATTTGTCATTTGTGATTTTAATATTAATATTCTTGTGTATTATTGTATTATTAACTATAACTTTATTATTATGTATTATCAAAATACCAACAATTTTGATTTCTCGGAATGGTCTTTTAAAATTACTAAACTTCTAAACCGAGCCATTCTATTGATTGTCTGATTTATTGTTCGGCTTTTCTTACTAATAAATTATTAGAAAAACCGAATTTCATAAAAACAAAATGTATTATATTTATCAAATTCTTGTCGTTAATTTGCATCACAGTATGGTGCTGGTCCATTGATAGTCCATTGAGTCCATTGGTGTAATATTTTTACCATGGTTCGTATTTTATTAATGAAAATGGACCATACCAAAACTCATGGTCTCAATGGACCCAGTCTATTGCCAACCCTGCATCACAGTAATAGTAATAGTGACAACAGATTAATTTTCTTGATGACGGACAACAAATTAACGTATACCACACGGCGAAGAAATTCACTATTTTTTTACAATACGCGTAATTTTGTGTTTGTATTATACCGAGCGAGGATAATACATGATAAACTTTATATAAATGCTTTTTTTTTTTGCTCTTTTAAATAACTTGCCTTTATAATAATGGAGGAAAGAACTATCCGATCAAAAAAAGAGCAAAAAATGGAAAAATTCAGAGAAATCTTAAAAGAAAGTGAAAAATTTAAAGATTATAGTATGTTTAGAAACATTTCAAAAAGATTCTTATGCGATCAAACAAGACTTTGTTCATTTGATGCGCGTTCAGCAGCAAATTCTTCGCATGATGTAGAAATAATTAAATCAATTCATCAAAAATTGCGTGATTATCAACAAGAAACCCATAAAGAGATAAGATTTGTGTTATTTAATCTGTTGGACGATGACGGTTTATTAAGGCATCTTAAAGAAATTGAAAAGTTATGCTTTTTGTACTTCCTAATGATTGACTATGTTTTTGGATATATTCATTTAAGTAAAAATGATAATAAAAACGTAGCAATTGAAATAAAAGATAGTACCTCAAATGACACTTTTATAGAAATTGATATAGAACTTGTCATTATTAGGTTAATAAATTTATTTAATGCTTTGGAAGAAGGAGATTTCAAAGAACGAAAGAACGATAGCATCTTCTTTGGATTAATAATGATATGTAATAAAATCGTTAACCTTAAAAACCTAGGATTGATGGATTATTATTTAGAAATTAAAACAAATAAATTCAAAATTAGTAGAGTATATTTGAATGCAAGGAGAAAAAATTTTATGTTCTATTTGGGTATAGAACCTAAATGTAGCCGAACACATCCAGATCCATATGGTACCTTTCATAAGTCCATAGATGGTCATTTTTCTCCTCATAGTTATCAATCCGAGATTGATAAATTACAGGTTGAATTCTCCAAAAACCAATCGCAATCGACAGATAATTTATGTTTTTAATTAACTTCTTTTATCACTAAATACATATAGATTCTTCAATTTTGAAATTGATGCTTATCTATAAACTAAACTGTTTAAAAGATTTTTTTCTTATTGTATTCATAAAAAGACAACAACTTAAATTTTTTTTTTATTTATAAATAATCGATAAATTATTGTAATTATTATTATTTACCAAATATAAAAATTGCTAGTTTTTTTAATCTAAAAACGAATTGTTTAGTAGAACCACGACACCATCCTCTCTATATCTTTTGGATCATGACTACCGATATGTGATTATTTTCTTTTACAAGAAGTCACTTTAATTTTCTTGGACAGGTATATCTAACATCTTTGGCCTTCCGAATCTCAAGATCATGCGAATTCTTATAAATTGTTTAAATAGAAACCACAGCACCATCCTTTCTGAATCATAGTTAATTGGATGCGATCACTTTCATTATCTTTAACTTTTCTTGGCAAGACGCCTTTTGCCTACCAACTTTTATGATATCCTGAATTTTGATAACAAAGAATAGTGTAATTCTTGGAATATTTAATTCTTTGGAGGTATCTCTAATAATACCTTTACCACCTTTATGTAGATCTCCAATTTCCTGCATTTTACAAAACGATATATGCATTCCCTACAAAAAGCTTAGGTATTCGAATTACTTAAAGTATGGAAAAATCAAGGGTATTTTAAGAATGTGTAAAATTATACTAAAACATACTGAATACTTGAAATATATTTATTCAATATGATTTAGCATACTTGAAAGGTTAAACTTTTCCACTATTGTAAATTAAACAAAGTATAGTTTTGAGTATCAAAATTTTTGTAAATAGATCACAGGGTTTGAATTCAACAATATGAATCAGAATTTGGCCTGGCGAATTATAAATTGATTACTTTTTCAAAGACGTTGATATCGAAAGTATTTGGGTGTTGATATTGATGAATATGTATTAGATGTTGATGATAGTTGCGGTGTACTTTGGAAAGATGGTAATGCAAAATCATTAATTCTGCCGTCACTATAATAAATATTGGGATTGATGGATTATTTTTATTATTTCTGTCGACCTACCTACTAATACACTATCTACAAAAAGCACCCGAAATGTAAATTTGCATAAAGATTGATTCGTTGGTCATTAAATTAATAATTTGTATAATATATATCTATTATTATTATTAGGTATATATGCATGGATAATAGAAACAAGGTTTAATGGTTTTGTATAATATATTTATTTTTTATTATTAGATAAATAGGACACGGCAAAAGAAACAAAGTTAATATATATTTATTATTTATTATTAGATAAATAGGACGCAGGCAAAAGAAACAAAGTATATATATATATATATATAATTATTGTTAAATTAATGGTTTTGTATTATCAAGTAAAAATTTGCCTCCAATCCAATATCTATTTGATAAAATTTGCGTATTTATTCAGTCAGGCCATGCTTACTATTACTATATATGTAACACAAAGAAAATGGTTCGAATGTCGATCAAAAACGAATTAAACTTTGCCATGACGTACTGTCGAAAAATTCTATAATCAGATCAATCAACAAATAAATATTAATTGTCATTTTCAAATACATTATACAAATATATACATGTGAAATATTATATAATACCTCAACCCTTCTTCTTCTTCTATCCCAGCATCAATAATATCTTTAAGTGTTTTCTTTTCACAATCCTCCATTTGTATATAAAGAATACGTGTTTTTTTTGGCGCTGTCCTAGACTTTACTGCAAATCTAACATTTCTAGCATCACCATCTTGAATTTCAAATTCTGAATCTGTCTCCGAAGAGGAGGACTCTTTCATACGAGCTTTATTGTATCCTCCTCCTCGACTATTTGACGCGTCAGTAGATAAAAAATCATATTCATCATCATCTGCTGCAAACACTAAATTATCATCCGAATCTGATGTTTCATCGTCTCCTGCCGAAACTTCTTCACTAAAAGTTTCGGTTTCTTTCATTGATCCGTCCGAATCTTTTTTTTGTTTCCAATAAAAATTTTAATTTAATGAAAGAATTAAATGTTATGAAAATAATGAATGTATTATTATTACCCTCAAACCAAGTTGTAAAGTATCTAACAACATATTCGTGATGTAAACGAGATAATGTTGTCACTTCTCTTAAAATTTTTCGTGTTTTTTCTATATCATTAGGGTTAAGACGAACTTTCTTGATAGCGTAAAATCTATATTTATATATATATGTATATAGGAAATATGATTCAATTAAATTATACCAAATAACATATACATTTATATACAAATTAATGGCAGTTCAAATAAAATAAAAGACCTTCCGTCCAACTTATTTTGGGCTTTAACAACTTCTCCAAAACCACCTAAATATGACAGCGTAATGTTTAATCTTTTGTAATTTATTTAACAATAACGAATATCAATAATAATTATTATTATAATCATCAATATAACCTTTTCCAAGAAAGTCTGTTTCCTCAAAATCAAGCTTATATCTTGAAAAAAAAGTATTATTATGAGTATTTATTGGCGGTGATCCTAAATAATGAGAATTATTATCACCAAAACTTCCAACAATATCATTTGTTTCTTTATTACTGATATTTTGTATAAGGGATTTTGCGGGATTTGAGTGACCTATATGATATTATTATAATATTGTAATTATTTAGAATAAAACTCTTCGCATTATCAGAAAAATTTTTTTTGATTATACCAGAAGACATTAAAAATTTAAGTGGTTGATCGTAAAAAGTATCTGATCCTTCATTGAAAAAAGGATCATTAAGTAGCTCTAATGGTGTTGGTCTTTTTCTCTGATCTCTATATAAATTAACGACCCCAAAAAAATGAATAAATCCATCATTTTGATTATATAACAATAAATATAGAATATGATTATTACTCTTCGAGCATTTTTTGCAGAATATCTCGTACTGTTGATGGTAAATCACGACCAGCTGTATATATTATATATTATTTATTATATATTTATGTTTATGTCGTTAATTCTAAAAGGAAAGAGAGGATAGAAAACCTACAAGTTTCGAATACATCATCCAAAGATTCAGAATCATCAACAACATTCAATCCAAATAACATTTGTAAAAATACAACTCCAAGATACCAAATATCATTTTTCCTAAAATTTATAAATTTATAAATATAAATTTTTTATGCTAATATCATAGATAATATTAATAGCATACCTAGAATAAACATCGGACTTGGTTTCATGTTCAGGCGATATCCTGCATATAACAACGCCAAATAGCAAATACAAATATGGAATGCCAAATTGTAAATTATATATGTTAAATTTTTTAGGATCGAAATCAATTATGATGTCAAAGCAATTTACCAATTTTTCTTATATTCAGTATTTAAGGATTTAGATAATGGATAAACCTTATGCATGTCTAAGTATAAAAATATTAATAGAAAAAATATATAATTTAGATACTGAATCGGTGAATATAAATATATATGTGTGTGTACATATGCATGTATAAAGTACGACCTAATAATTTCCTATGATAATTGACATCTGTTAATTTAGCAATAAAATCATCAGTTCCACTGATTTCAGCAAGTAAAATATTTGAAGCCTTAATATCTAATAATAAAATATAATTAATATAATTTTTATAAATTTAATAATATTATTATTGCTAAAAAATTATAAAAGTACCTTTATGAACAAAACTATTTGCATGTATAAAATCTAAAGCATTTAATAATTGTTTAATGTATTCTTTTGCAATTGACAAACGTACTACTCCACATTTTTTCAATAGATCGACAAGTGAACCACCACGAGCATACTCCATAAGAATGTGTAACTTCCAACCTGAAGCAACTCTTTCGAGTTCAGATTCGTATATAGATATTATATTTGGATGTCTTAATTTTTTTATTCTTTCAAGATCTTTTTCAATTTCTTCCAACTTTTTTTTTTATATTATTATTTTATAAGCCAAAATAAATTGTGAAGAAAGATGAAAAATGAAATGTTGACATATTGAATTATCTTACTTTTTTCTTTCCATCAAGGTCCAAATAATGTGGCTCCGTTATTTCAATCTCTTTAAGCACTAATACATAACTACTTGATAATTCTAGATTTTTTATTTGAAAATTCGAAGCCTGGACCAAAGAAATAGAGCTTATTGACCCTTATAATACAAAAAAAAAAAGAGATAGCTAATTAATTAATTAATATTTAAAATGAAAAGGAAGAAGTATGCATTTACCTTTTCCTATAGAAGGCCCAAGCACTACAGACTTAAAAGGCATTGACTAGTAGTAATAATGAATGATAATCGTAGTAGTAATCAATTAACGAAATTATCATCGATCGATCTTATCTATCTGAAAATTACTAATATATTAATACCTGTGAATCATCCAATCTGACAAAATTCTCAAAGTTAATAGTTCGAAAGCCTGCAAAAGAATTATTAGTTGGATTCAAATTTTCATCTTCATTTATCTTCATTAATTTTCTTTTTTGTCGTTCCTCCTCAATTTTCGCCTTTTGAAGTTGTGTGACTTCATCAATTTTTTGAAGCAAGGATAAGTTCTGCATTTGTTGTTCACGTTCTTGAATTTGACGTACACGATTAACTTCTTCCATTGATTTTTCTAGTTCAGCCTATGCACACGCACATAATCAAAAATAAATAAAATAAAATAATTGGTTGATTTTATTTTATTTTTTAGTTGACAATATTCTCTTTAACGTTCATATTCAATCACACCTTTGTTGTTTGCTCAATACGATTCAGCATCTGTTCATGAAAAGAAGGTTGATTTTTGTGATGTCCAATATTTTTAATTCCACTATTATTTGCGGTAATGTAATCTTTAATGAATTCAGCAATTGTAAACACCATTTCTTGACCAAGGTTTTCTTTTATTAAACGTGAAACATGTGATTGAAGCTGTTGTAATTGTAAATTTGAAAGTCCATGAACATTCTCAATTTTCATATCTGGAGCAGAGCGAGGATAAGTTTTAGGAAATCTGATATATTTAATAGTTATTCGAAAAGAAGTTTCAACATTGAATATGGAAATAATATATATAAAAAATACATGTATACATATATAAAATATAAATATTACACACTTTACATGTAAATCAACTTTAACATGTTGTTTTAATTTTTCTTCTTGAGGCCATAAATGAAGTCTGAATTGATGACCAGCCGGAGCAACCTTCCAAGCAGTAGCCACCACAATTGGCTCATAATCATCCATAAAAATCGCTATAATGATAATAATTATGATTTATCAATAATTTGCAAGCAATTAATTAACAATATTATAATGATGATTGGTTGCGAATTCAATTACCTTTTAAAGCTTCAATTTCATTTTCCTGTGCTTCCTTGTTAAGTAGATAGAAATTAATCATTTTAATAAAAAAATAGAAAATAGAAAATAGATGGTGATAAGTAGCATGAATTAGCAAAAAAAAAACCTTTGATTCTTTCAATCCTAATTGAGAAGTTAGAAGAGATTGTGAACCTTTCGACTTGACCATGGAGGGAGCAATAAATGCAACTCACTGCATAACTCAATTAAAAAATTTTTGAAGAATCACTAAATAACTTATTTCATTATTACTTAAAATTTATTAGACTAAAATAGTAATTGACTCCAAATTGACTTAAAGTCATAAAGTGCATAAAGCCTTGGCATTGTGTTTTTTTTTTTGGCTTTGATGAGTATTATAATAATTACTCACCTTTAAAAATAGAATTGATATATATACACCTTTCTAATATTTAAATTATCGGTTAAATCTAAACTTTTAAATAATTTTAAAACTTAATTAATTGAATTGAAAAATAATCAATTGAAAATAATCGAATAATTTTTAAAGAAAGTGTATAACAAATATTACTAATTCTTTGACACGCGTATTTGTTTTATTTGAAGAGAAAACGTAAGTTTGCTGGTTGTATGTGGTACAATGCTTTTCATCGAGTTAATGGTAGAATTGTTACACAGTACGTCATGGCAAAGTTTAATTCGTTTTTGATCGACATTCGAACCATTTTCTTTGTGTTACATATATAGTAAT